TTTTTTTTCTTTAAAATAAAAATAACTGATGTAATAAATAAATAAATAAATAAAAAAAAAAGAAATAAAATATTCCATAAGCCAGAAAAATAAATAAATAAATTTGTATAAAAAATAAATAAAAACAAAACAAAACAAAAAAGCCAACTCAAAGTATTACATAGGGCGAGTTGGAAAGGAAGGAAACTAGAAGAAAGGAAGCACAAGTGGAAATGGGAAGAAAGAGCAGAGAATTACCAAGAAACAGACTGTTCAGGAGTCGGAACTGATGTGCCTATGGGACACAAGGCAGGGAGAAGATAAAAATGGTGACTTCAGTATGCCACCTGAGAAACTGAGGGCCCTCAAATTTGAAGGCATAGAAAATAAAGAGCAACTTTTGTGAATTACAAAGAAGTTAGGGTTCCAGTGACCCTTTAATTCACATGGATTTTCCAGGGGGACAAATGATAGTGTTACACTGGTTAGACTTCTCAAGGAGTATGGACTGGACTTACAAGTCATCTGCACAGCAGGAATAGGTGAGTTACTGGTATAAATGAAATCATCAAGACAAAGCGGGTGAGAAGAGAAAGAGGCTGAGAGGACTGGGAAGGGACAGCCACGATGGTACAGGCACACAGAAACCAGGACTTTCAAGAGGGTGATTAAATATGTTGGATCCTGGGGAGAGTGAAAAAAAATGAAGATGGGAATAAGCTACCTGATTTGGTCATGGGCTCCAAGTGGGTGCCAGCAATGAAGTTGGACATAGGAGTGGGTTGCAGAATGACTCCAGTAGAGCTGAGGCTAGGCTAGAATATTCTTCCCAGAGGTTTGCCACTCAACTGAGAGGAGAAATATCTGTTTAAGAGGAAAGCCAGCCTAACTCTTGACACAGTTTGTAGAGCTTTCAGTGCATAGTCAGCTGGCTCCAAGGCAGGGTGGCATGCAGAGAGTCATCACAGAGGAGAAACAGTTCATGGTAAAGCAGGCAGAAAGCAGCGGCAGCAGCAGCAAGCAGTGAGCCTGCCATTTTCTTTGATTGCAGGCTACCAAGCTTTTGGCCAGTGCCACCTACACCTAGTACTGGGCTTCTGATTTCAGTAAACCCATTTGGCCACATCCAGAATGATGCTAATTGCAATCAGTGGACTAATTTAGTAGTATACACCCTTTATCTCAGTATCACACAGTCTAGATCCAGCCAGCTCTGAAAACCCACCTATAAGCTTTGGGGGGACATCCAAATAGAAGCCATAATACTGATGGTGCAAGGTCCTGTAGGCAATGGATTGAGCCTCAGCTCCCTCAAACTTACTCTGGAAGCCATTCTTTAATTTCTACTAATACAAGGCCAGATATGCATAAAGTAACAGAGACCATATTTCCTAGCTGAACTTTCAATTTCATTCTCACTTTCATAACAATTTATATATGCACCCATGAAACTCTAAACTCCTCATAAAGTTAAAAATGTTTAATACAGAAATATTATTTGGATCACATGCTTAATCAGAAAAGGCTGACCATGGATTCAGAGACACAGTCTCAGTACTGAAGCATCATGTATCTGCGACGAGTCCTTCCTACCCTTCTGACTGCCACAGCCTCTGGAAAGCTCCTCTCTACCAACCTCAAACTACCTGCAGCAGAAACAACTGCTGGTGAAATCCAGTGAGCAAGGAGTGGAGTCTCATTAGGAAAAGAACATCTCAGACCTTTACTTCAAAAAGCATTAACTGCAAATGCCACTTAACTCCCCAGACATACTAAAAGCCAGCTACAGGAAAAAGCTGCCACACAAAGCAGCTCTTCACCAGTGTGTGTCCCTGCAATTCAGCTTGCAGCACAATTGCCACCTGCCCGAAATCAAGACAGCGGTGCGTTCCGTAAAGAATGTTTTCCCTGCGCTTTCTGTAGCAGGCATTCTTGGCCAAGTCTATTTAGGTCAACCAGAGAGAGAGGAGCGGGTAAGAAGATGTAACCAAGGCATGATTTAAAAAAAAAAGGAAGTGGAGGCCGAGACAGACTGTAAGGAAAGCCTGAAGAGCAAAAAATCATGGAGGGGTTAGCTCAGCCATGTGGCCAAAGGAAGTTCACTTCAATGGTTTGGGGAAGGAAAAATCTTAGGAACACATGCTGGTCAATTAGCTTTTGAAATAAGTCATAGTTTATGACTAAATAAATACATAAGAAATACATCCTAATATGTATATACTAAATGCTATCAAATGACCTTTGAAGTGCTATTCATCCCCCCCCCAGGTTGTAGAGACTGAATTGAGACCTTCTGTATACTAGGCAAGCACTCTACCACCTGGCTACGACCCTTGCCCCAAAGTGCCATTCTTTTCCAAAAGAAACCTGTCCTAGGGGGCTGGGGAGATGGCTCAGTAGAATAAATGCTTGCCTGGCAAGTGCAAGGGCCTGAGTTCAACCCCTGGTTCTGCAAAGAAAAGAAGCAGCAGCAGCAGCAGCAGCCTGTCCTACTTAGCTGCTGCTGTGGAACCTATATGCTACACCTGCATTTCTGACATGCAATGCCTTAATCAGAGGATCGACTCCTATTACTATCGAGAGCCACGTAAGCTTGCGCTGCGTCGCTCATTGGTTAGCACCAAAATGGAAAGCAGTGAGCTCTAGGTAACCTTATAGGGCTGCATGAGCCACGCCTCGTCTCCTAGTCCCTGCCCTGTGCAAGGCATGCTCAGGGCCGCAGACCACAAGGTGCTCCAAGGGACACTCCCAGGTCCACAAGGGGACGCCCCATTTCGCACTTCCCTCTGGAAGTGGTTAAGTCAGACTGAATCAACACCCCCACATTCGCATCACAGGAGGCACAGAGACTGGATGGGAGACCACGCAGTCCACAGGCAGTTTTCATGGAGGCTGCCGCAGGCCGCAAGGAAGAACCCTGGGATTTACCAGACTATGGGCCAGAGGAAAGGCGTAGCGTGTGAGGGTCTCGAACATGTCTCTCCTGCTGTGGCCTTCCTGCTTCAGTGCGAACCTCAGGTTTCTCATATCCTGGGGGCAAAGGAGAGATGGTACATTTCAGTCTACAAAGAAAGTCAAATTAACTAGCAAAAACATCCCATTTCAGTTCAATTAAGAGTCACTTACCTGAAAGGGCATAGGATACTAAGAAAATAACTTTGTCATATGTGGCCTTTTAAAATATCCGCTTTAGGAGCATCTGAAATTATTCCCACTGTAGTCATGAAGGTAAAGGTAAGATAAAAGAGCTAGTGCTGGAGCTGGGCATGGTGGCGCACACCTATAATCCCAGCACTTAGGAAGCTGAGGCCAGAAGATCATTCAAGGCCAGCCTAAACTAGCAGTGAGATGCTGTCTCAAAAAAATAAAAAACAAAACAAAACAAATTACAAAACCCCCCCCCCCAGAAACTAGCACTAAAGGCAAGACAGAGCTAATTATCATCTTATTTAAAAAAATCAAGCCTTGCCTATATATCTGTGTCTATGTTCATGGTTTCCATGTATTTGTAATTATCAAGTAATACTTATTGGGCTGGGGAGATGGCTCAGTAGAATAAGTGCCTGCCTGGCAAGCGCAAAGTCCTGAGTTCAATCTCCGGTACCAGAAAAAAAAAGTAATACTTATTCACGCAACTTCTCAGGGGATTACCTGCTATCAGATATGATGTCAATATTCTCAAACATCATTAAAATGCAAATTTTCTCCCTAAGTGGCATTTTAAACTCTTATCTAATTAATGTAAGTAATACACTTTCATTATACTTTTTTGCTTTCACAAGGCTCAAAATAAGCCACTCAAAAAGTATCTGAGTAGTAATAATTTTATTTTCAGGAACTACACATTAATGAGCTAAAGCAGCTCTTAAAAGTATCTTTCAATACACATCTCTCTAATGGGCAGGAAGACTAAATGGAATACACAGTTCCTTTACATGCCAATTATTTACAAAATGGATATTCCAGCTTATTTTCCAGGCCAGGTATGCTTTCTAGTTCTCTCTTTAAAACCGTCAGTTGTGTTGCAGGGGTTGAGCGGTGGCTAAACACTAAGGACACTCAACTTTGCAGCACACTCTCAGTTCCCCTTTCAGGGAAACAACTGCTGCGCTGGGCCCTCGGGCTACCTCGGGCGTGAGTAGTCTGCGTCCCTGCCCTCGTGGGCACCACACTCTTCCTAGTGTTCAAAGCGGTCTCATTTAGGACCTCCAGAGTACTTGGAAGGCGTCGGTCGGAAGGTCCGGCAAAGGCTTTGCCACTCAAAACGTCCCAAGGGGCCAGCAGAATACGAACTATAGGCGACACCGCAGATGACCGCCCTGAGACTGTACAGGTCCTAGCGAGGGTCCGACTATGGTGCCGGGGCTGGGCCCGAGGGCCTCGCATGCATAAGGAATATGCTCTACCACAGAATCACACCCCAACCTTGCTGTTTTCATTTGTTTCAGTATTTTTTTTTCCCTTTTAGTGCCAGGCATGGAATACAGAGCTTTGCATACACCAGACGAGGCTCTGTGGCCAAGCAAAGCCTCCGGACCATCCTTTCATTTTTAATGCATGTGGATAAATAAAGAGTAACCACACGACACCATGTCCCAAGAGAATCGAGGATGTTAGTCGTTGGTTCATGATGCAGAACAGTGGTGAGCTGAGGTGAAAAGAACTTCAGTGGGATGGGACATGTTCAAAGGGCCTACAGTCAGCAGCAGGCACAACAGGGGCCAATGGCTGCAGACCCTTGGGGCACAAGGACCTGGGAGAAACTTGCTTCCTGACGGCTGCAGGTCAATGATCACCCTGTGCCACCCTTTTCTTCGATGCCTGGGCAGAAATGCGACCATCTCTACATGAAACATTCATGCTTCTCTATCAGGGATTCCAATAGGGCTTTCCTCTGCCAAAGAACACGTGATTCAAGCAACTTCTTTGGCCATCTGATGCAGATGGAATTAAAGACAAAATAATAATAGTAATAATAATAATAATAATAATAATGTTTATTACAATCGGCATAGATAGACTTTCTGAACAGAATCTTGGTTGCAAATAATAATAATGTTTATTATTATTATTTTGTCTTTTTGAGACAGGGTTTCCCTATATAGTTCAGGCTGGCCTTCAACTCACTATGTAATTTACGATGCCTCAAACTCACAGCAATCTTCCTGCCTCAGCCTCCCGAGTGCTGAGATTACAGGCATGTGCTACCACACCTGCCTTGGACAAAATTATTTCTTGCCAAGGAGAAAACTGCAGTGGAAAAGGCAAATAACTTACAGGCAGCAGGTCACCCAACCTGTGACAGAAATGGTGCACACACTAATGGGTGGCTCCCACTTGGGCTCTGCAGACCTGAAGAGCTAGGGAAGGGCACCTGGGAAGCATCCTTGCAGGTCAGGCTCCTAGGCCTGTTACCACCTGGATCCCATGGTGCTGCGCACAGCCAGCTTTCTCAGCCCCTCCCTATAAGCTACCCCTGCAGAGGCAAACACTGCTCACTTCTAAGTAGGATCCTATCTCCACCCAAATAGGGCAGCGAGGAAGGAAGGAGACAAAGGCTTTGTGGCAGTGTGGGTTGGCTCCTTTTTAAAGACGCCAAATTGTCCGCAGGGGCTGCTGGTATGGGGCCTACAGGGGAAGGATCCCATGTTCAGAGCTCATCTCTCCCCTCGACCCACCCTTTGGGACCACCATGTACCGTGAGGGCACTGCTGGCAGGCAGAAACCTCAGCATATGTGCTTGGGGCTGCCACATAAGCAGGGGCACCAGGAGTGGCTGCACTACCGGTACTGTGTGCGGGTGAGACACAGGGCGTGAGCCTCAGTCCCACCACAGCAACTCCTCCTTCAACACAAAGTCTGACTGAGAAAATGAAGAATGACTCTGGTAACTTCAGTGTTTCCAGGGAGATAACATAGTGGCACCAGATTGTTCAGGGCTGTCATCTTTAGACGTAGGCTAATTCCAAGAAATACACATATGTAATCCTTGCGAATTAGGCCTTGGGCACTGTCGCTAAGTCTTTTCTTGTTAAGAGCCTAAAGGAGAGAACATGCTTTGTCTTATTAGTTGGGAGAGGGGTTCATACTTAAATACAAGTTTTTCTATTGGAAAAGCAATAAATGGGATTTTTAAAAAGCTCATTAGAATTAAAGTCACTTCAAAATCACTAAGATATCAACCACATTCCCTTGAGGATTTTTAACATTCTACTCCCATGAATCTTTTTATGTGAAATGCAGAACCCTTCCATCATCATAAATCCCCATGATTCAAGGCCTAACATATAGACAGTAGCTGGGATAGCGGATAAGGCATGAAGGTAGTTTGGATTAAAACAAAAAATGCTGAGTGGGGTGTAGCGGAGAATTTTCAGGTCATGTTTAAGAATGACATAACCTTTTGGTTTCTGGTAGTGTCTCAATCATTTATAAACCACAGGAAAAAAAAAACACTTTACTGGATTCATAATCCAAAAGTAAGTAGAAGAAGACTAGGACAAGGTTTCTAATCCTGGCTCTTCCTTCAGCCCTTTGGGCAACCCTAAACAACTCATGTCATTTAGCAAAGGTCTCCTGGCTCCATCCACAGGGGGAGGGGGAGGAGAACTGGCTAGGGGTCAGCAACTTCAGGCCAGGTCACTTTTATGGCTCTCAAGCCAAGAACGTTATTTTACATTTTCGAAGGGTGGACAACCCAAAGCACAAAGAAGAAAGGATGGCACAAATCTCACAAGGCTCATCCAGTGTAAGATATTTGCCATCAGGTCCTTTACAAGAAAACCTTTGGCAGCTCCTGCTCTAGAGTAACAGTTCGCTGTCACCTGAGATACTTGGAAGCATCCCAACCTCCTGGGCTCCAGCCTTCAGAGACGATCCTGCGGTAGAATCGGGGGTAGATCTCAAAGATCTACATTTTTAAAAAGCCTCCTTGATTGTTCCGATACATATCTGGGCTTGAGAACAAGCGGGACAGATGATCTCCAAATCCCTTCCAGCTCTTTCTAGACGTGGCCACCATGCTACAGCTAGTCATCTTCTGAAATGCAGTCTCTGGAAAGTAGGTTTCCTCACCAGAAGACCGACCACTGGTTGTCTCGCTGGATTTAGGGTGTGGCTTTGCCATTTGAGGGTGATCAGAGCAATATGACCCCCTGCTGAGCCTTAGGCTTCCCGTCTACAATATGACCATCTTTGAAGGTTGGGCTGGCGGGAATGCAATGCACCTCGCATGTGGCAGAATAGACACAGATGTCCAACCAGTGGTTTCTAATACAACCGACTGTATTTAATCGATGTCAAATTTCTCATGATTATCATCCCAAAGCAAAATATGAGACTACCTCTAAAAACTCAGGAAATGCTACAAAAGTTGTTAGAGATTAAGACATAGCCAGTTCTCAGAGGGCAAGATCTATTCCTTCCATGGTATGAAGGTGTCTCACTGGTGACACACGATCAAGGTCCCAGAGCGGACTAGATCATGAACTAAAGAGGCTTAAGAAATGTTAATGACAACGTTTTCTTTCTACTCAGTCAAGCTAATAAACTGACCAATTCCTCCCGGCTCCTCCTGGGGATCGGAACACTCTCCCTCAGTGCTTTGGGGAATCTCAAAGCGTAAGGGGAGAACCATTTCCAGGCCCACAGATGCACAGCGGATTTTGATTGGCTTAAGCCCACATTAACTTTCTATTATTATTCAACATGACTGTGTCGTTTTCTTTGTGTAAGAAAGTACTGAATCTCTTACTTTACAAGTAATATCTAGACCATAGGAATTTTCTCCTCTACTTGTCGCGCCTCCCATTTTTTCAATTCTTGAGATCACACCCAGAGGGACATCAAGTATTAGAGCAGAATCCTGTAATGGACAAAAACACAAAAGTCAATATTTCTGTTGCTGTAATTAAAACATCATTCAACATGTAAAATAACTATAAGCTTTCAAGGTGTTCTTTTCCTTTAGCCCCTTTACTCTTTATGAACAAAAATGCGGGATGGATCACACATGAAGAAGCAAGCATTTAAGGAGCCGAGAATGCAAGGAGAACTGGCCACTGCACATTGCCTATGGGACAGAGGGAACTCCCTAGGCCCGTAATTTCAGGGTGCTGTGACATCGCCTGAAGCCAGCTCCTGTCTGACTTCTCTCCCACAACCTCCTGCTCTCTGGCCAAGCCAGCTCCTGCCCCAGACTTCAAACAACTACAACAGGCCACTTACCCGCAGGCATCGTCGCCCACACCCCTTCTCAGGCTAAATGATCACTCTACAGTTGCATCCCAGGCCCTGGCTCGGGTCTCAACTCTTGCTCTGCTCTTTCTGCCCTACCTTACTTCCCAATTAGAAAGGCACAGGGAGCCCCTCCTCTCAAAGTCCCCAGTGCTGAAGACAGACTACGTCACACCACCTGCTTCGTCACACCACCTGCTTCGTACTGACTGTCCTGATACCTGACCTTACACATTTGTTTTTCCCACTAAAACTTAAGTGCCTGGAAGCAGCACTCCTCACAAGCACTGGTACAAAGCTTTTCTCGGTCTGCAAGCCAAAGCTGGGTGCAAGCGGCCCACAAGAGTGCTGGCACGACAGAATCATGTTAGTCAGGTGGTGGCTGCCACCTACGAATCAGGTATGGCTCGCCATAGGATCTGGGCATGCGCTGTCTCATTTTTATCTTTCAAACCATTTGTTATGGTTTGTGTCTAGTTGTCCCCCCAAAGCCTCATGCAGTCATGGGGTGAGGACTTCTAGAATTTGTGTTAACACATGATCCCCTGGGATTATGTGTGATCCAAGGCTGGGATTATGGGTTTTAGTACTGCTGGGATTACCCATAG